CACCACTCCAAGAGGAGCTGTATGCTGCCCTGGTCCCTAACAATACAAACACCAGCTCTGCTTGCGCTGCTTTATTTCCTCTAGAGAACTTCAACCTTTTCCTTCCTCTAACACTCCCTTCATCTTTGTTCCTCTAACCATTTGTTATCTCGCTCCCCTTCCTTCCTCTTGTAGCCCTCATCAAATCCCATGTCCCGCAAATGCCACTGGTGCATATGAAAATGTGTTCCACTCTTCAGTTCCTGCCCCCTTACCTGGGTCCTTCAGTTTCAAATCACTTCCTGGGGGGAATCTGCAGCCTCTTACTAACTAGCCTCCTTTATACCCAGCATGCTTTAAGGAGCTGCAGCTGCCTTAGCAGGATTCCACTAGCATCACTGCAAAATTCCAACAGCTGGGAGTGGGACTGGTCGACAGCACACTCTTAACCTGCCATTCTTTCTGGATTGTACCTCAAATTAATGGGTAGCAGGTTTAAAACTAATAAAAGGAAGTTCTTCTTCACACAGTGTGTAGTCAACCTGTGGAACTCCTTGCCAGAGGAGGCTGTGAAGGCTAGGACTATAATAGAGTTTAAAGAGAAGCTAGATAATTTCATGGAGGCTAGGTCCATAAAAGGCTATTAGCCAGGGGATAAAATGGTGTCCCTGGCCTCTGTTTGTCAGAGGCTGGAGAGGGATGACAGGAGATATATCGCTTCATCATTGTCTTCGGTCCATCCTCTCTGGGGCACCTGGTGCTGGCCACTGTCGGCAGACAGGATACTGGGCTAGATGGACCTTTGGTCTGACCCAGTACGGCCATTCTTATGTTCTTAAATGAGGTATGTGTGATGGCACTAGGCCCCGTGTACACTTCCTCCCCGCTCTCAGACTGCAGGGGAAGATGCAAGGTTGGAAGCAGTAACCGGCAAGAAGCTATAGACATAACCCCCCCCCACACACTTGTGTTTTCTCAGATGGACTCTACACAGCTCTTCCCTGAAAGAAATGGCAGCGGTAGCTGCAGCACAAGTATACACTTAGCACTGGACAGAGTACTCTGCAAACTTCTTTAAAACTTTTTTCCAGCACATAAATACTCAAACTCCAGTGTAGGAACCTGCTTATACAAGGACAATTTAGCTGGAGGTATGTTGCCAAACGAAGTGTGAGATTTACTTTATGGAATAAACAGCAGAGTTCATAAAACATGGGTGTCACATGGCCAGATGCAGCATATCAGGAATCAATAGAGCTACCTTTTAATACATTATGGCTTCAGACCAAAAAAAGAGACTGATTGCTTTTTCCTCATGAGTGGAGCAAGCTTTAGAATGAGACAGAAATTCTTCTCTTAAATTCCCCATGACTAG